CTTCGTATGAAATAATAAAATATTTTCTTTCATGATTCCCATTTTTCCTATTTTTCATTCTTGCATCTTCTTGTTTAATTAACTGTAACTTTTGTTTGTATCATGCAATAATTGTCAAGGAAGGGAATCCATTCCAACAGTTTTGGGATGAGCTTGGTGTTGACTTTGATGGTTATATGTCACATCATCTTAGTTTTGATGTAGAAGATCCCTACACCAAGAAGGAATGGGAACTAGAGTAAGTTGATTATTGACCATTTTTGAGTTCATGGATTCTTACGTAATACTGGACCAAAATCGCTATTTAAAATAACCAGGCGTTACCCCTTGTTCAAAAAAGGTGGCATTTTTAAAGCATAGCCAATCGTTTTAAACTTGATATTCATCAATGGCAATCAAGGTACAGTAGGCACGCTGATTAATATTTAGCAGTAGTCACTCACCTCTCATCTGTGAGGGTAGAGGGGGCTGGGGACTGGGAGGGGGACACTGAGATGATTTGCTTGTTACAAACAAGAAATCTGATTATGACCACCCATATTTGCATACAAATTGGCCCCATTGTTTTTTATACTGCTTAATGTAATAGTGCTGTACCACTCAAATTGCTTCATGAATCCACCCCTTGGGCCAGATTTTTTAAAATGACCCCCTCAAATTCCACTGGCCCCTCGAGCTCCCCCAGTAACAAATGAATGGCCCCTAACAGCTCAGTTACAGCCCTGACTCTTGACTACATTCCCAAAACAGTTTGCTCAAGCACTAGCCATGCTTCTCCCCTTTTCCTTGATCACTTGACCACAACATAGGGCTCCCGTTGATAGCAGTAACTTTATTACTGAAGGGAATACCCTGTTTGAATAAAGGTTTTCATTCATTCATTCATTCATTCATTCACTTTACACAAATGATCATTTATTGTTACATTGCTAGGTTCCCACCCTCATCTTTTCCAGTATTGGCACTAAGAGGAGCCCCAGCTAGGTTCCCAGTGAATGAGGACCACAGACACATACAGAGGTATCTAAAATGGTCTCCCCTCTTACTGAAACAAGCGAGAAAGCTGATCAGTGAACTTCTGCCAAAGGGACCATTTGTTGGTATTCATCTTCGTAATGGATTAGACTGGGTAGGTATGACTGTGTGTTTGCTAAGCTGAGCGACATATCCCTAGGTCTAAAACCCTTATGTTCTCAAAGACACTCATATCTTAAGATGGAGCATAGTTGGTGAGATGGGGTAGAGTGTGCACCGGCTGCCGTGTCCTTATTAAACCAACGCTGGCGTTGGCTCAGCTGGTTAAGGTATTTGTTGGACGAGATGTCTTAGGTACCAACCCTAATACCGGACCAATACAAAGGGTAAAATAAATTCAACACTGAATACAAGCACATTTCGTATTTGCGTGAAGGACGTGAATAATTCAAGGTAGCCGTGCCGTTACCGTGACAGGATTTTCATTGGCTGAGCAATAGCACCCTCGTGCGATGTGATGTAATTCACTGGGAAGCACGGGTGGTGTGCGCTGCTTATGCATGCCAGGGTTTTATTTTCCTCCGGGTAAGATTGGATTTGATTGTTTCAGAGTATGTCGGCACTTACGTACGAGTATCATCGCGCCGTTTCAGTGACGCGCGCAAAATCTGCCGTCTTAATTTGCTAGATAAATCACTCGAATGATTTACTTAGGTATAACTTAAGTTAAATCCTCCCGCAATATTAATTCACATAATTTTACCACTTCTTACAGGAGAATGCTTGTATGCATGTAGAAGGGCTGCCTAACTTCATGGCATCCCCACAGTGTCTTGGCTACTCCCAATATCGCAAACTTAACAAAGAGATTTGCTTTCCTTCGAAAGTAGAAATGTTGAACCGAACTAAGGCAACGGTAGAGAGGATCAAAGCTAGTGCTGTGTATGTTGCTACGGATAATGAACCAATGCTCTCAGATTTGAAAGCCACTCTTTTGGAGTATAAGGTATACATGTACAACTGAAATGATGTACTTTTTTATACTTTTGTTGCTTTGCGAGAGAAGCACATGTAATAAGAAATAGCTAACAAACCTGTGGCCGTCGTTCTGCAAGGGCAGATCAAGGATTCTTTTGAGGGAGGATTCAAAACCTACACTCAATTAGTGATGTCATTTTTGATGTCATACACACACTATACCAGTCGTAGCGCACATACACCTACATAAGAGTCATGACTTTCAATAGAAAAGGTTTACGATATCATAGTATCAAATTGAGCTGATCCTCGTAGTATATGAAGCAACTTATGCAGCTGCAAATTGAAAGACTCAGAATTTTTTCTGAGTCTTGAACGGGATAGATTAGTGTAAAGATTTTCTGTAATATATCGTATGTTAAAAAGGGGGAACGAGTTGCAAAGGGGGTCCAGACCCCTGAACCCTACCCTGGATCCGCCCTTGGACTCCTACAATGAACGCTCTTCAGTCGTGATAGTACTAAGTTTACTCTAAAAAAATCTGATTTATTCTATAAGTGTTCTCTGTTTTCTTATTTTTCCAGACGCACGTCGTTCATGCGAATCCTCCACTTCCTCAGATAGATCTAATTATCCTTGCCAAATCAGACTTCTTTATTGGGAACTGCGTTTCGTCGTTTACCGCACACGTTAAGCGTGAAAGAGACGTTAATGGTTTGCCTTCTTCATTCTGGGGTTATACTGAAAAATAGCAGCAGCAACAGCAACATCATCACTAGCAGCAACAGCAACATCTTCACTAGCAGCAACAGCAACATCTTCACTAGCAGCAACAGCAACAACAACAATACACCAACACAACCAACACCACCAACACTGAGCAACAACAGCAAGTGACAACAACGAACCAAACAAACTACAGCAAGAAATAAATAGGAACTAGCAAGAAAGGTGGCACACCTCCGAAGCACACTATATAGAATTCGTTTTCATTTAAAAACGCAGCAAAAATCACTAGCACATGGTAGAAAAGTAGGGGGAAAATTAGACAAGAATAAAAATATTAAATTAGTAATTAGAATTTGTCAAAAAAGGAAAGCGAAGCAGATTCGAAATAAACGTATTCAAAAAGGTCATATTACAGAAATGAGCTTGATCTTTAGAGTGTAGTAAGAGCACCAAAGGCTTTCTTTTTCAGCCACACAAATTACCGGACCGGATTCATGCATTTTTTATGATGGAATTCTTTTTTTCTGTATATCAACCAACACAGTTTTTCAATTCGTTGGGAGATTTCGATTTTACGGGGCGCAAACCGCTCTGCATAAGGTAATACAGAAAAACTTAACGGAATTCGAAAAATCCTTCCTAAGAGCTGACACCAATTTACTTCATTATTTGGGCATACTCTTCCACAGGGTACCCAATTCGGGGAGCCCAAATTCATAAATTGTTAATATCCCAAAATTTCTATATATTGAAATATTGCTATGAAAAGTCCTCAAATAGAAATTATTATTTATTGATAACATTTCGTCTCCCTAAATAAACAAATAAACAAACAAAAATAAATAAAACAAAAGAGGAGGTCCCAGGTTCTCTCGTCCTGTATATCGCAAAGGTTCATGGGTAATCCATCCACGTGCTTCATTTTACAGAAGAAGGAGAAAGCGTCGTTGGTGAGTTTGTGAAGTTTGTCTTAACTTTTCGCCCCCTTTTTCCCAACTTAGAGACCCCAAAAGCCCTAAATACCTTCGTAGGTTCCAAGTGATGAGAATAATTGCAAAGTTAGACTGCATTTAGTGTAGGATGACTGATAATTTAAGTCTCTGATGGATGAATSWWTRWKTKWRWTACTAGTGTAAGCCATGTGCTTTCCAAGTCCAACGGCTTGCTCGTAGAATTTTAATTTTGTCTTCTTCTACTTTCAGGTATTTTGTAGTACGCTACGGTTTTTAAGGTAAGAGTATACCTAAATGGGATTTGGTAGAGATTAATCTAAGAATTGAACCATAGAAAAAGGCATTTTTTTCTGCTTTAAGTTGAAGCAAATTACGCTAATCTTAAGCAGTGGAATGCAATTGTAGCTGGAATGATGAGAGAAAAATAACTTTCGTTCTTCTGAAGGAAGACATGTGGAAATCTTTAAGATCTCTGACCAGCTTAGCAAGAAGTAGTGTTTTTATTTGTTAAAACCAAGTTTTTTGACTATGTGAGCAAATTCTGAGAGCACTATGGAGGAGTGGGGGGAGGGGGAGTGTTTGGGGGGTGTATTTGAATGTGTGCAGAATCATATGAGGGGAAGGAGACATAAGATGTTATGAGATATGCCTTTGGATATCAAGGGTGGTGTAACAGTAGTATCTAGTTGCCTCTTTGCAGTCTCAGTTTGACTCCAGGACTGGGCATCATATGTCATAGTCAGTCAAAAAATATTACACAATTTATAGAAGGAATACAAGTAGTATGTTAATGAATTCATCAGTTAAAAAATAATTATAATTTGTATTATTACAACACAGCTATTTGATGGCAGCAGTCAATATGTATTTCAAGAAAGAACAATTCTATACTATACCTGGCAAACGGATACCACAGAATTTTCATTTTGTAAGTATTTTCTCAATAATCCATTTTTAACACAATCTACTATCTTAAGTGAAGTGTTTAATTNAACTCCTTGATAAATGGAAGTCAGGTAATTAATTAACATCTGTAGTAATTAGTTTTGTCTGGATAACAAGATGCAATGATGAGTACAACATGAATTTCTTCACCTGAAAACATCTTAGTGAAGATAACTTATGTTTCTGAGGTAAATGTAATGGAGAACTATGTTTATTTACAATGTAAAGAAATGATGACGTAGGTTCCAATTTATTTTGTAGGTTGAGGATCCAAGAGACTACAAAATCTGAACTGTACAATGACGTGTGTTTGCCACTCTATCATTTTAATTACAAGAGAAGCAATGAGAAGAAACACAAGGTACGGCAATTTGTAATCAGGGAATCAAGGCTGGCATAGCAGTAGAACACTTGCCTTTCACCTGTGGGTTTATTAGGTTTGATTTCTGGAATTGTCATCTCATGCAAGAAGGGTTTGTTGTATTTCTCTTTTTATTTGAGAGTTTTTCTTCAGGTTCTCTCAATCCAAGTAAACAAGCTAAATTCCAATTCATTTTGGGAGTTAGCAGTGCTCTGACTTTCAGGGTTGGATGTTTGAGTTAGTCATGCCCTGATTCAGATCAGTCCAGAGGTTGATTAACTTTTGAATGGAAAAAAAAAGGAAAGAAATTTCATTCAAGGTGGTTTTAATTGGTTGTTTGAGTCCTAGGTGCCACTCCTTGCATAAGTGATATTGTCAGATGTATGCCAAGCCAAATTCATCAAAACAGGTGTTTTGCTCAGCTGCTGTGATGATACTGAACAGATAACTGAATATCTGTGTAGAAAAAAATACGAGCTTTTTAAATCTGAGCAGCTTTCTAGATTTCTCATATTCCTTTTCATACGTTTTATCCAGAATTCATATTGATATATCTTATTCTACTGTATTAGATATAAAGTCAAGTAATCTTGGAGTACATGTCGATCAGTTATCCATTTTGATAATGACAATGGTTTTAAAAGGAGCTATCCCAGAAATACTGGTAAGTAGGTAGCTCAGAATATTAAATATCCTAAGCTACAAAATATTTTTGGTTTTTCATTCTTCTAAGACCTCAACTTGAATTTATTGCACCTACATAATAGGTTAGTTCTGTAATTGCAGTGCTTCTCTAAGCATATCTGAATTTGTTGTTGTGATATAGTAGGCGTTAGTGGATGTCAATCAAGGTGTTACCATGACGTAAGTCCTAAAAACTTTGTTTTCCAACAGTCACGGAAATACTCTGATGAAGTCCACCAAATCCTCAGCCTTTTGTCATGACGGCAAATTGTACAATACTGGGCCCAGTTGTTCAAAGCCCGGTTAGTGCTAACCCTGGGTTAACTCTTAATAAGACCTATAGAGTTAATCCTGGATTAGCGCTAATCCAGCTTTGAACAACCCGGCCCTGTGCATGCTATTGAGAAGCATTATAATACTCCTATCAACTAAAGTATTGAAAGAGATGTGATTCCCAAGTGATGAGTTGCACACATCACCAGTGCTTGTGGAGTTCCCAGGTACTGGCTGATACCATGATGACATCTAGAATGCACAGGGGCCATCTGATGGGATCATGTGATCACACCTTTCACACAAATCTAATTGTCATTGGACAGGTGTTATATGTATGTGGTGTTAAGTCAATTTGTGGTTTATTGACCTTAGTGTATAAGGTGTAAATTGTGTGATGCACTTAAGATGGGAGTACAGTTTGCATTAAGAATATCTGCACACAGATGGTTTGAGCATAAAAAGTAACTGATTTATTGGCAGTTCATATATTCACTTGAAGTTAAATTTAAATGCACTGAACTCACCTAACATTCTTTCAAAATAATAGAACAGCCATTGGACTTGGCTTTGACAAATATAAAGATAAGCTAGTTTTTATTAAACGCTTTATTGGAATATGAAGCATCATTGTCTATTATTTAGCTCATGATTCAACATTGTCTGACATTTAAAAACGGTTGAAGATAACATGTTTATTTTTTTATTTGTTTGAACAGGTTGAATGGAGGCTGAATCAACAGAAACCAGTTTGTTCCATGCATTGTCACTACCTTGTTCATTCATAGTAATAAAAATGGATTTCATCTACCTTTCTGTTGTAATGTTTTGGGACAATACCCATTCACATGTAGCAAACTTGTTTTTTCTAGTGCATGTTTGATTCTGCCTCATAAAATTCAGAATATTTTTATCAGAAATTTTTTTTAAAGATTTGTCATTAATTTTTTGATATTTTTAAAAATCATTTTATATATCCTTGGTACTTTTCAACAACTTCTTGATGAGTCTACCCTTCCCTCAGGGTATGTGAATTGGGTGTCATCCGATCCGTACAGCCTCAATTTCTTTGAAATAACATCAAGATATCACGTGACTGCTTTAGGCCCTGTTTTCAAAGGAGGAGGATCTTTGAACTAGGATCTCCCTCACAGGCGAATCAACCATGCGTTCAGCTTACATGAGAAAAAAGGTGTGAACTTTATCACTGGTGCTAGGATCTTCCTATCTGCGAGACAGGAAGATCCTACTGCTAGGAATATACTAGTAGCTGAGAGAAGCCTGTCATTTGCATTTAAACAGAAAGCAATRAGTATATAGCYGGTAGGTTGATTTRCCTGCAAGGAAGATCCAAGTTTTAGGGTCATTCTCCTTCCATGTAAACAATGCCTTGGGCTCATCTGATAATCAAGTCAAAGTAGCACGACTAAATTAAAAGTACTTTAGAAACTCGACTCTGAGTCTCACCGTGACTGTATAACAGATCGAACGTCATTTGGCCATGAAAACCAGAACTTGAGTAATTGGCTTAAATTAAAACCAAAAGCAGGTGTCGTAATATTTTATTGTTTCATATGTTTATGCAATACTT